ATTTTTATAAAAATATAGAGTAATTTAGTCAAAATTTTAACTAATTCTTATAACAACTGAAATCAAAAAATAACTATCAATAGTTTATCAAACTAATTAACATGGACAAGAATCATCTTCTTTATCAACATGATCAAGATTGTATATTTTCCAATTCTCTACAATATGAATTGTTTTGATATGCTCTTTGAATGCAATTTTATGATTTTTTTATCCTTTCAATATTTACTATCCATAAGTATCTATACGTATTTATCTTAAAGGATTCTTAGATTTAAGTTCTATTTGAGTATCTGCATGCACTTTTTTTGACTTTTGATTCATATATGTATAATATATTTTATTTTTTTAATATCAGTCAAATTTTGGATTTTCATCTTCCCCCTTATTATAAATATATTCTTTATGAATATCTTAATCAAAATTATAATGTTGATTATTTCAAATCATTATCAATCCAACTCAAAATTTTGATTTAATATATTAAGCAAAAATCTCTTTGAAATATGATATTTACTTTACAATGCTTTATTAAAAAATTTCAATATTTTAAGGATCAATTATATTATTTCCTCTTCTCTATTTAAATTCACTTAAATCTAAGTAAATATTAAAAAATGAATTGATAAATTTCATATATAATACTTATAAGATAAAGAATTACAATAATAAATATATTTTATATTATACTTTATTATATCAGAATCTCAATTTTGAGAATAGGAATCTTGATTAAGCTTTCTTATCAGCCAAACTACCTGCAGGTAATGTTCTGTATTTCTCAGCTAAATATTTTCTAAGATTCTTTCTCAATTCTTTTCTTTTTTCAACATTCTTTAATTCAGATTCCTTTACTCTTTCAATTCTATCTCTAACTTCCTTTAATGTTGATTCTTCTAATCTATATCTAAAATAAAATTGTATTAAATTATTACCTTGTTGGCATAATGTGATTAAGATTTAATTATTTAATGAACACTTTCAATGTAGTTCGCTTTCTGATTTACTTTTAACCCATTCTCTTGGTTACTTTTCTTGGATATCTTTAAATACCAACCACTAAACCATTAGGGAATTTTGCATCCTAAAATAAATCGATAATTGATTTACTTTAGTTGATTCTTCATTTGCTTTAATCAAAATAGCCTTCTTTCCTGCATATCTACCAGCAAGCATAACTACTAAACGACCTGGTTTCAAGCTAGCTATATTACAAATGCTTACAATTTTCCCATTTCAAAATACTAAATAAATCTTTTAATAATTTATTCCAAATTATTTGTCTCATATAATTAACTAATTCAATAATATATAAATTATAGAAATGAAGGAAATAATCATACTCAATTTAGGTTGGAATGGAAGCATAATTGGAGATCATTTGTAAGAATAATTAGCCACTGAAAATCAAATATAGGATTTGAATCTCTTAAATAAGGAATCAGATTTCTTAGTCAAATCATTTTATTATGAAACTTAAAATGGGCAATTTATTCCTAAAACTATATTCATTGATTCTGATACATAAATTTAAAAGAAGAAAATATATGCAAAATAAAATGTATATAAAATTATTTATCTGATAGTTTTCTTCATTTAGATAAATGGTTGAGAAATGTGAAAATTTATAAGGAGTACTTGTTATCAATACAACAAACTAAAATTATGACAATTACATCAAAGAATAATAATAATTAATACCTACTGTTCCATTTTATTTTGTAAATTTGATTGAAGATTAAATATCATATTCTTAGTAAATAAGTTTGTTAAAATGTTATGAAATGCTTAAAGAATTTGCAGAAGTGTGCTTGTAGATTAATGGAAGTGTATTTTTAGAAAATAAATAATATACAACCTATCCTCCAAGAAATATTTCATAATTCTTAAGTTTTTGTTTGGCTTCAATAAATCAAACTTATAAAAAACAATTAGACATCACAACATTCTCTTAACATTTATTTTTAGATTATGATTAAAAGTTTTTGTCTTGTGGTTTTGATAACACCTATGTAAATGCATATGCTAATAATTTTGGAGGTATTAATTATCAAGAAGGAAAATTTAATAAAACAGGATTAATTATTAGAGGAGAACCCAATTTAGAATAAGTTAAGTGGGTTTAAGATATCACTTAAATTCCTGCTAATATGGGTATTCTTGAGAAAGGCTATCCTGGAATTGCTTAGATAAGTAATCATAGTAGTAATGTAAATATATTGGCAAAAACTATCAATAAATTTTAATAAATTCCAAAACAATTTTTTAATATTGATTATGAAATGAATGAAAGTCTCAATTAGATTGTAGCAGCATATCAATGATTTTATATAATTCATATTAAATTTTATATGACTATTTCTTGTAAAATTTAGATATAAATAATATTCGTTAAAATTATTATGCAACATTAACAATAAAAGTATATTTTGTGTGATAAAAGTAATCAATCATAATTATCACTCAATTTATCAAAGAGCTAATAAAAATTAGTTTGCAAATCGATTCATGATTAAATTAAGGAAAGAACTCAATCAAAGGAAACTACTCATAGAAGTACTCAAAACAATTAATTATCTTAAAGAGTAAAATAATCAGGATCATTGAGTTCAGTTATAGCAAATTTCTTTGGACCTTCTGAACAGAAAAAGAAATCTAATGAAGGAGGTGAAAATATTGAAAAATCTAAAGTTATGGTTATCAAAGAACTCAAAAATTTATTAGAATAGAAAGAAGAATAAATAAAGATATTAAAATAAGAATTATAATCTAGTAAATAAGGATAATCTATTTGTGGAAAATGCAATAATTTAAAAGATAAACTATAGAAATTATAATCAACCATAAATTAACAATATGAAGTGTTTTTATAACAGTTTATAATGACTATAGATGATCAAGATCATGAATAAAATATTGAAAATGAAGATATAATAAAAAAGAAAAGCAATTAAAAATGTATAGAATCAAATACCTTTTAATAAAAGTAATCAATGAATATTTTAAAATCATTCATTGATAAATTAAACAATCAATATGATGAAGTTGATAATCGTAGTAATTCTTTGTTTAATGCTATGAAAATAGAAAAATAGGAATTATAATTAAGAGTAGTGGAATTGGAAAAAAAGATTAAAGAATTATAAAATAATGAATAAATTATGTAAAAAAAATTAGAATAATTATAAAATCCGTATTAAAAATATAAGAATTAGTTGTAATACAGTGCATCATTAACAAAAATTATGTATATAATTAAATTTATATAATAGTCCAGAAATTGAATGTTAAGTAAATGTTGAAAAGATTTTAAATATTGGATAACCATATTTAAGAACAAGGTATATTAGTTAAAAAGAAAATAAAAATAATTAGATGAATTTGTTTTGAAAACAAATGGAATTTAATATATTGATTTATAATATTTATTATTGTACGATAATATCTTGGTAATGATCAAAAGACTAACTCGTGAGGTCTTGTGGTTTTTCCAATGGTGAAACGAGCACCAAGATATTATTTCAATAATTATGTTTTCTTAATTGCAGTGATCAATGCAGCATCAACTGATTTTTATGTATTTCTCTTTCCATCTAATCTTGTTTTTTCTGCTGTTTATTATTCAGCTGTTAACTAATTATATATATGGATATTAAATTACTTCTCCTCTCTTAGCCCAAAATCCTTATTCATTCTTACGTCTTTAAGCTTAAGTTCTCTTGAAATAATCATCATCAATTTAGTTGGCATTAACTCCAGTCACATCTACTTTAGTGGATGTTGGGATAACATAAGCAGAGTTGACTCTCTTAAGTGGGACACCATTAATTTTGAATGGACCTGTTACAAGCAACAATCCTGATTTGAGCTACTTTAAGAATACAACTCTCTTTCCTTAGAATCTTCCAGACAATAAGATTAAGACTTATCCAGGGACAATCTTTCTTAATTAAGCTGGTCTTGGAGCCTTTTTTGATTTTATTTCAAAATACTTTTCTCTTTCTAACGAAATGGACTTTCTCATCATCACTCTTGTACCAATTACCAATTCTCACAGTTCTCTTTTTGGCAGGCATTGATTGTATTTTAATTAATTTTAAATCTAATTTTAAATTTAATTATCCTAAATCACTCATCTCTTGTTATATATAATTTCCCATTTTCATCATATAATTCACAGTTCACTCATCATTTAAAGAGTATAACACTTAAAAACTATATCATATTATGGATCTTATAATAAGAATTAATATTTCTAATGATATTTATTCTTATATGCTTGAAAATTAATTATTTGTTCTAATAGTAGATAATTTTAAGACATAGAGATATTAAATATGCTCTATTTTTATTTAGATATGTTAAATAGAGTTTATTCAAATCAAAGAAATACAATTTATTTTCTTATTTATATAACAAAAATAATTTATGTTGAGAATGCATTATAGATTAAAACATCTGTTTACTTTTATAAAGTATAACTATTCTATAATTAAAATTAATATATACAGAGTAATAGATTATTTTAGTGTAGAGTAATTAATTATCTATATAATAATTTTACACTTACATTTCAATAAATTTCTCTGAATCTTTTAAATACAACTAATTCATGATTTTAGCTGTTTTTCTAAATAATACACTTATTTAAAGTTAACTAAATTTATTAATTTTTATATTTCAGACTTAATTACAATATAAGTAAACAAAGTAACCAATTAATTTATCATCTATTTCTTAATTAATAATTAAAATTTATTTCTATTTTATTATTATATTTTAGAAGTAATCATACTCTTACTAAACAACTTAATTTTATTTGAATTATTACCAAAAAATAAAATTATTTTTCTATAATAAGAATGAGAAATTCATTATGAAATAATTTATTATTAGAATTATCATAAAAATATAAGAAAATAATTCGAAAAACATATTTTAATATGGACATTATAATACTTATAAAATAAATTAATAATAATTTTGATGTTAAATTATCTTCATATTGGAGTTTGTAAAGCTTCTGTCTTAACTTAAAGTTTTAAATCACTTTTAACTTCTTACTAATTTCCTGATTCACCATTTGATCCTACATCTAATTCTTGATGTTCTAATTTTTCATGATGTTTTTTTGCTCCATGATGATGTCCTTGATTAATTGAGTGTTTAATTATTATTAGATCAAGAATAAGGGTAACAGCAAATATAACTAAATTTGCTAGATTGTAAGACCAAGCAAATTTAGTTAAATCACTTTCCAAATTAGTAAAGAAATAGTCACTAACAGGATCTGATACACATCCATCATCATTAACTTATTTAATTATTTTTCTTTTTCCATCTATTAGAGCAAATGATACTATTATTACAATGATTTCTGTAATTTGTAACAGTATTTTGAATCCAATTTCAATTAGAAAAATATAATTATATTATGATTCAGGTCTAGCTATAATTATAAAAAATAATATATTACTTGCCATACAAGACCAAGCAAAGTTGCAAGCAGTCATTGTTCCAACAATATTAAAAATAAGACCAATAACAATAAAATAAGCAATTGTAACTCCTAGTTATACTCTTAATGATATGTAAACATAATGTAAGGTATTTCCTTCTTGTAAAACTTAATCAAATAAATCACCTCTACATTGAGG